GAGAGCGAATTTACACAGAATTATTATTTGCAATTCTCAAATCGGAAACAACTTCCGGGAGAAAACTATGCAACATTAGGCACAGCTTTAGAACGTCTGTCACGAAAAGCATATCCGGAATGCACTCAGAAGTGCGTGATAAAATCGCGTATTCACAATTTTTTGCTGCATTAAATGACGGATTTGTGAAACGCTCTCTTCAAATGGAAGAAGTAACATCGTTAAGGATAGCGATCGAACGAGTGAAAGCCCTCAGATTCATAAATAAAACTAGTTTCTCGCGAATTTATCGTTCAAATCAAAAAGAAATTTCGAAAAATTTGGAGCAAATAAAAGAAGGAGATAAACAAAATAAATATCAAAAATTTGAAAGAAATAAAAGATTTAAGGGAAACTTTAAGGGAAGAAATGAGGGACAAAATAAGAAAGAGTGTTGGCAATGCGGAGCGACTGGGCATTTTCGCTCGGAATGTCCGACTTTAAAAGCGGAAAACTGAGCACTGTCGAAATAATCGAGACCGGATCGACAGTTGAAGCTCGGTCCCCAGTTTGTGTGCGTCGTCTTAGAAGGATAGGCACGGGCACATATAAACAAAACTGCGTGAGCGGACTTTTGAATAATAAATTTTGTATTTTTAAGATAGATACAGGCTCGGATGTGTCAATGTTGAGTAAAAAATTAGCACATTCATTAAAAAAAGAAAAGGTTGAACAAACTCTTAAATATTCTACTGGAGAGAGAGTGCCAGTAATTTCTCGTGTTTTTGCGGAAGTGCGTGTAGGAAAATTTTGTTTCGAAATGCCATTTTATGTGGCCGATATTAGTGATGAATGCATTCTTGGGGAAGATTTTCTTTCCAAAATCGATTGTTTTTGCTGCAAAATGTTTGGAAATATTTTTTTCAATAAGAAAAGAGATCCTCCTTTTCATTCAAGAAAAAAACAATCCAAAATTTCAGGAATATATATCTCTTTTAGAAAATATAACATTTCTTTCCGAACTTGCCTTCATTACTGACATGACTAATCAACTTAGGCTTCTCAATTTAAAGCTGCAAAAACCAACTCAAAATATTTCCCAATTAGTTAGTCATGTTGATTCTTTCCGAAGCAAATTACAGTTATTTAAATTTGATTTAAATAACAACATTTTTCATTATTTTCCTTTTTGCCAGATTCTTTTCGAAGAACACGGCATTAGCTGTAATTTCAAAGAAAATATTCATTTCGTAGATTCTGTTATAGAAGAAATCGATACGCGTTTCATCTTCTTCGAAAAACTTCGAACAGAATTAATTCTTTTCGAGAATCTTCTTACAGCGCCAATCGCAGAACAGCAGATTAATTTACGGGATGAATTATGTGAGACCTACAAAATGATATTTCTCTGAAAACGGTTCAAGAAACCGGTGCAGAATTTTATAACGTTTTATCAAAATCAACCTACCCCAAGCTTCGAGATTTCGGACTCCGAATTTATTCTATGTTCGGATCCACATATTTATGTGAGACTTCTTTCTCGAAAATGAAGTTTATTAAAAATGAAAAACGTTTTTGTTTAAGCGACAATTCTTTACCGCGTCTTATGCGTCTTGCTACGTGCAATATGCAGATCGACGTTCCTGCTGTCGCTTGTAAAAAAGCCCGAAAGTCGTGAATCTGAATGTGAGTATTTTTTATTTCATTTAATATTTAAAATTCTGCTTCTTTTAAATTAATTAAAGCTATTAAACGGTCGTCTCAGTCATCAGTGGATTAGGCCTAACGGGGAAACCACTTAAAAAAAAACGCGTCGATAATATAGTACCCCCTGGGTGATGTGGAAAGCTATTAAAAATATGTATGCGAGGTCCGGTGACACGATACGGTCGCGAGTCGCGAGGTGACACGGTCCTGAGCCTCGCGCGGCTCGTAGGCTGCGCGCGGGACGTCGAGGTAAGGGAAGAGCGCTGGGCGGAGTCAATTGAAAATCGGGCGAAATGTGCATTTCTTGCCGAGCTCTGGTTTATGGCAATTTACTGTAATGCTTTTCGGTCTTTGCAATGCCCCTGCAACTTTTGAGCGTTTAATGGAAAAAGTTTTAAAAGGATTAATTTCAAAAAGTTGTTTCGTGTATTTAGACGATATAATTATTTTTGGAAAGACTTTCGAAAAAATGATAGAAAATTTAAATAAGGTCTTTGTATGATTGCAAATTGCAAATTTTAAAGTGAACCCAAAAAAGTGTGAATTCTTTAAGAGAGAAATTAAGTATCTTGGACATGTCATATCTGCAGAGGGGGTTGCAACAGATCCTAATAAAATTTCTTGTATAAAAGATTAGCCACTCCCAAAAACAAGAACCCAAGTCCGAAGTTTTCTTGGCTTCTGTTCGTACTACAGGAAATTTGTCAAAGGTTTCTCTATTTTGGCCAAACCTTTGTACAAATTAACGGAAAATAATTGCAAATTTATCTGGTCTTCTGAATGTCAAAAGGCATTCGAAGTATTGAAACATGTTTTGACTTCCCCACCAATTTTATCATTTCCTTTAGGGGAAGGTCAATTTATTTTAGACACTGATGCCTCAAATCACGGTATCGGGGCAGTGCTTTCTCAATTACAGGATGGAGGTGCAAAAAAGTGATTGCTTATTTCAGCAGAGTATTTAATAAAGCTGAGAAGAACTATTGTGTGACTCGACGAGAACTATTGTGGCTATAGTAGACTTCATAAAAAATTTCCATCATTATCTCTATGGACGGAAATTTTTAGTGAGGACGGATCATGTTTCTCTGCGTTGGTTGATGTCTTTTCGGAATTTGGAAGAGCCATTGGCAAGATGGCTTGAGCGCTTACAACAGTATGACTTTGACGTCTGTTATCGAAATGGTAAAACTCATGGTAATGCAGATAGTCTATCTAGGCGTCCATGTTTAGAGATATCATGTCGATATTGTGTAAAAGTGGAGTCAAGGGAGGAGTTATCCAAAGGAGAAATTTTTGGTCGTATAATCCTCACTGAGGATAATCTTGAAGAATGGCGTTCCGAGCAACTTCAAGACCCAATTATTTCAAAAATTATTCGTGCCAAAGAAATTGGAAAAAGACCAGATTGGCAGGAGGTTTCTTCTGGTGATACTTCTTCTAAAATTTACTGGACTCATTGGGATATGTTGACAATAGTCAATGGAGTTTTATATAAAAAATGGACTTCTCCGAGTTTAAAGAAAAATTTTCTTCAGATCGTAGTACCTTCGCAGAAGGTAGAAATGATTTTGAAGGAAGCTCATGACACACCTTCTGGAGGACATTTCAGAATTAATAAGACTCTTCAAAAAATCAGAAAAGGATTCTACTGGGCTATTTGTAAGAAGGATGTAGAAAAATGGTGTGCTACCTGTAGGATTTGTGTAGCAAGAAAGAGTCCTATCGGCAAAGGAAAATCATCCCTACAAATTTATAATGTAGGCAATCCTTTTGAAAGAATACAAGTAGATATTTTAGGTCCATTGCCAACTTCTTCGGCTAAGAATAAATATCTACTAGTGGTGGTGGATTGTTTCACAAAATGGCCTGAAGCAATTCCTCTGAAGGCTAAGCTAAGGGCTGAGGGGAGAAGACTCTTTAATAGGGCTAGAAATGTAAATACACCGAGATCCTAGGAGGAGTACAGGAAATCTCAGAGAATTTACAAAAAGGCCATAGTAAAAGCTAAAAGGAAAAGATGGAGAAGTTTTTGCTCAAGTATAGAGAATGCTCCTGAAGCATCTAGACTGAGTAGAATACTCTGCAAGAAAAATCAAACACAATGGGGCTGCCTTAAGCTTCCCAATGGAGGGTACACAGAAACTGCGGAGGAGACCCTACGGCACCTTATGGAAATCCATTTCCCAGACTTTAGGGAGGACTCAGCAGACAACAACAACAGGCAGAGATCCATGACCGTGCACAAATCAAGGGCATGGGGACTGGCAGCTAAGGTGGTCTATCCACAAGCAGTGGAATGGGCGGTCGGTTCCTTCGAGCCTTTAAAGGCTCCAGGACCTGATGGAATATACCCGATCCTGCTGCAGAAAGGGCTGAGCAGCTTGTTAGGCCCAATGACAAAAATCTACAGGGCAAGTATTGCTCTTAGACATGTCCCCCAGAAGTAGAGAGAAACCAAGGTGGTTTTTATACCTAAACCTGGCAAGAACGGTCACGTAATGGCAAAGGACTATAGACCAATTAGCCTTATGTCCTTCGTATTGAAGACCTTAGAGAGACTGGTGGACAGATTTCTCAAGTCCAACTCTCTAATACAACAACCTCTAGCCGACTCTCAGTACGCCTACAGGGAGGGCAGGTCTACCGAAACCGCCCTACATCACCTGATAGGCAAAGTTGAGAGTCAGCTGGAGGCAAAGGACTATGCGATCGGAATCTTCCTGGACATCGAGGGCGCTTTCGATAGCACTTTACACGAGGTGGTAGGGGAGGCACTGATCAGAAATGGAGTACAAGAACCATTGGTGGACTGGATAGGAAACATGCTAGTGGACAGATGCTTGACGGTGGAGTGCCAAGACATCTCCATCAGAGGAAAACCGAAGAGAGGCTGCCCACAGGGGGGAGTTTTATCTCTTCTGTTGTGGTGTCTAGTGATAGACGACCTGCTAAAGGAGCTACAGAGGAAAGGTTTCTCGACCTTTGGCTATGCTGATGACGTGGCCATAGTGGTTAGAGGACCATTTCTCAACACACTAAGGGACCAAGCAAAGGATACCTTAAGGATTGTGCAAAACTGGTGTGAGAACAGATGTCTAACGGTTAATTCGAGCAAGACAAATATTATGGTCTTCACCAGAAAATATAAACCTGAACCCATAGAGACGTTAAAACTCTGGGGAAAGGAAATACCGTTTACAGACTCGGTGAAATACTTGGGACTGATTCTAGATCCTAAGCTTAGCTGAGGAAAACATCTCATAGAGCAAAGGAAAAAGTTCTATGCATCTATGTGGATGTGCAGAAGGGCAATGAGCAAGTCGTGGGGCATCAGCGCTGGTGCAGCTTTGTGGTTGTACAGGGCGGTCCTGCTACCGCGGCTGCTATACGCGTCAGTCGTCTGGTGGACGAGAATAAATAAAGGGGAGGTAGAGAAACTACTTAGAAGCCTGCAAGGTAACTACCTAAGGGCTGCAGTAGGAACCATGAGAACCACACCCACAGAGGCGCTTGAAATAGCACTCAGTGTTACGCCAATAGGCTTGGCCGTGATAAAATCAGCCAATACCACGGCATACCGCCTGAAATGTCAGGGTGAATGGAGAAACACAGAACTGGGACACACTAGGCTTGGTCTTCTCCAAAAGTACCCTATTGAGGGAATACAAGACAGAACTACAAGAAAGTATCAACTGGTAAAACATTTTAAAGTATGGATACCTGATAGAAACGAGTGGCTGAAACCGGGCGGAATCATGGACACAAAGGTGGACATGTGGTTCACGGACGGATCAGGCATAAACAATTGCTTTGGAGCAGGAGTATATGGACCTGGGGAAAACCATAGGGAGAGTATTCCAATGGGAGGCGACTGCACGGTCTTTATGGCAGAGATGCTCGCCATCCTCAGATGTGCCAAACTGAACCTAACCAAGGGAACAAATTGCAGGAAAATATATATCTGCACAGACAGTAGGGCGGCCCTTCTGGCGTTGGCGAGTGCGACCCCTGAGTCTTGCTTGGTATAGGACTGCATGCTGGCGCTGGAGGAGCTGTGTGGAACAAATAAAGTAACGTTAGTCTGGGCGCCCGGGCATCAGGGCATACCGGGAAACGAAATAGCAGACTCACTGGCTAGAGAAGGGGCTAGCAAAGCACCAGATAGTCGGGAGATGGGAGTGCTCTTTACGATGGGCAAGAACTTCATCAGGGACAGTATAGACAAACAACATAAGGCCAGGTGGGATAATCTGAAATCCTGCCGACAGGCCAAATTCCTGATGAAAGATATAAATGGTAACAGAACCAAGGAACTACTCACATTGAATAGGCAGAAATTGAGGATGGGGATAGGACTGCTGACAGGACATTCACCAATACTCAAAGCCCACCTATTCAATATCAGACTCGCAGACAGGAAGGAGTGTCGACTATGCGGGGAGGAAAAAGAGGACACCATACATATTCTGTGCCAATGTCCGGCTCTGGCTAGAAAGAAATTCAGGATCTGGGGACAAAGTTTTCTTAAATCCCAAGAATTAGACAAAACAAGGGTGGTGGAACTAATAAGCCTAGTGGAGAACTCTGGGCTGAGTACACATCACTCAGTTTAAAGACAAGAGTGAGGAGACACAATAGATCTCGCTAGATCTAGGTGCCGTCGGGGGCCAAGTCATGGAACCACTCACTACCCATCTACTACTACTACTACTACTAATTCCTTTGAAAAATAAAAGAGCCAGTACTGTAGCAAGATCTTTAGTTGATCAAGTATTTTCTCGGCATGGAGTTCCATTGGAATTACGTACTGACCAGGGGAAGAATTTTGAATCGAATCTTTTTCGAAAAATGACCAAGCTATTGGGAATAAGAAAAACGCATACAACTCCTCTTTACCCTTAATCAGATGGTCAAGTCGAACGTCAACATCAAACCATTTTAGATTATTTGGCAAAATTTGTTTGTGAAAATCAGAAAGATTGGGATCGATGGATTCCTTTATATTTATTAGCTTTTCGTTCTTCAAAACAAGAGTCCACTGGAGCAACCCCGGCGGAGATGTACCTAGGACAGGACCTCCGTTTACTTTTGGATCTTCTTAGAGGTTGCCCACCTGAGATGATAGAAAGTGAAGAAGTAGAAACTCATGTGATGAGACTTAGAAACAAACTAGATTTAATTCAAAAATATGCTAAAAGAAATCTTCAGGTCAAGTCCAAAAATGTCAAATTTTGGTATGACCGTCGAGCTAGACAAGTAGAGTGCATTTGTTTATGCAGCGATTAGCGCATCCACTGCGCATCCACTGCGTCTATTATCTGCGAGTCACGTGACATCATTTACCGAACAATCACCTGCGTGAATTGACTGCTCAGATTGTAATTGGAGTGCGTATAAGTAAAGAAATTTTAAATAAATATGAATTATTATTTGAATAAATATAATAAAATTTTTAAATAGGATAAAAAATATATTTTCCCTAATAGCACACATATCCGAAAGACATTCAGAGGATATCCAGAGGACATTCGAACATCCTCAGGATGTTCTCTAAACGTCTTCGGGATATGTACGCTGTTAGTTTGATATATTAATATTATTTTAGAAAAAATTCATTATTAATAGAAACAATTCATATTTTGAAAATATATTTTTATTTAGAGATTATATTTATTAATTATATACATTAATTGTAAGATATTAATTTTTTTAATATCTTTAAAGAAATTTTATTTAAATATTTTAATTTTCAGAAACAACGGATGGATTTAGAATGGATTTAATTTCATGTAACATTATTGATCAAGCTATGGATCTCATTAATAGTAGCTCAGATTCTAACTCATCATCAGAAGATAGTTTTGATGAAGAGCTGCTGTTATTGGATGATGTTAGTATAGTTAATTTAATTTATTAATTTAATTGACATGTTAAATGTATACACGTACACATTACATCCATTTGTTGTCTACATGCAGGAGCAGGAACGTATAGAAGTGCACAAAGTAAAAAATTTTTGTGATACAATTTTTGGAATGCATGATAAAACATTTAAATCACATTTTCGTCTCACAAGAGGTTCTTTTGAGGTAAGTATATACATTAGAAATATTGTAATTTAAAATTAAATTATAATAATATATATATATATATATATATATATACACACAATACATATGTATAAATTATATATATATATATATATTTATATAATTAATATATTTATAATTATGTATATATGTATATATAATTTATTATACATATGTATTGTGTTTGTGTGTATATATTTATATTTAGATATTTATATTTATATATTTACATTTATATATTTATATTTATCTATCTGTAATTTAATAATTTATAAATATTGTATAAATTTCATATCTGCTTTGTTTTAGGTTGTCAGAAGTGCAGTTGGTCCTATGCTTGAATCTAATTATAATAATGGAGGTCATCCTAATGTATCTTTGGAAAAAGCAATATTATCAACTCTGTGGTTACTGGCAAATCAAGATTCTTTTCGGGAAGTTAGCAATCTATTTAACTTAAGCCCAAGTACTGTACATAAAGTATTTTATGATGTATGCAATGCTTTGTGTAATATGATAAATGAACATTTATACTGGCCAAATCAGACAGAGTTCCAAAATATAAGGCAAGAGTTTAACGAGCTCAGAGGACCAAATGATTTCCCAGACGTGGTATGTACAGTTGATGGAATGCATATAGAAATTCCAGCTCCGAGAATTGATGCTATGAGTTATTATAATCGAAAAGGATTCCATTCGATTATTTTATATTATGTAACGACATTTTTTGTCAACGAACATAACACCTTTGTTAAAAAATTATTTCTTTTTACTTAACATAATCACAATGTGTACTTTTTTAAAAAACAAATCGATATCTGTTATGTTCGTTGACAAAAAATGTCGTTACATAATATAACAGCATCTGACGCTCTAACTCATGCCAACAATTATGAATTTTGTACTGCGTTCGTCATATAATCTTATAATTGTTGTATTTATTTATGATGTCGAAGTGACTAAATTAATTTTTTAACATATTATTAGGATATTGAGAAAGACTGTCGTACAGTCGAAACGTTTATCGTAACTTTTGTATAGTATGACGTAAATTAATAAATAAAAATTTTTCAATTATTAGCATATAAGCTCGTTAAGTTGGCCTTTTATTATATCACATATTTTATTTTTATATTTGTTTTTTTTTTTTTGCGTATATATGTATCGACTGTGTCGAGGTAGAATACCGCACAGTCGTTAGAGTGATGTGTCACGTGTAGCATCGTCTTCTCTCTGTTTTTGCTGTCGGGGTGAGTGTTTTTCCCGGTTTTTAATTTATAATTCTTGTGGATCTTATACGTTTAATTTATACTATGTTGATTAGTGTTGGTAAGGGAGTCACTGCTCTGCTTCCTTCCTGACGATGGTCACCGTTAGGGAGACACTCCGACGGCCGGACGGTTTGAATAGGGAGGAGAATGATATTTAATTTATTTGCGGATTGTATGTGTACGAGTTTTATAATTTTCTGATTGTACCGATTATCTTTTATTTTTGTTTCTTTGTATTTTGCAGCTACTGAAGAAGACCCGAAGTGGGTCGAAACGTTTAGAATTTAATAAATGAGTTTGATTTGAGATCTCATTTTAATTTATTAATTTTGTGCATGTCATCCGCACAGGCTCCGATTGCCGTCGAGAATTTATTTTTATTGTAACACAATAATTCGAGCCGAGATTAACAGTTTTTTTATAATGAAATGAAAATAGTTGTTATTGCTGCTTGTGTTCTGCATAATATTTGCATCCGATGTAATGATAAAATCGATTTAAGTGACAACGAATCTGAAAATGAGAATGAGAATGAGAACCAAAATGAAGACAATGTCATTTTGGAAGCAGGTAATAATAAAAGAAATAGAATTGCCGATATTTTGTGGACAAATAGAAGAGATGAATAAAGTATATTTAATAATTTTATAACATTTCGTATACATTTATAGTACTTTTAAATATGTAACAGGTACATAAGGATTATCATAAGTATTGTTATTTAAGAACAAAAAGAAAATAAACTATATCTAGATCATATTTGACTTAATGATAAAAAACGTAAATATTAAAACATAAGACATCTGAAACTAAACAAAAAATCTAACTTTATTTAGTGAGATCATACCTAATTTAAAAAATATATAAGCATTAAGAGGCATCTAATAGCGACTTCAATTGGATGCACTAGTGCACACTGAGTGCACATAAAAGTTATTGCACACAATTTACAATGACATAAGTAATTAAAAAAGTAAAATAATAATAAGAGCTATTATTATCATTATTCATATTGAATAACAATAATAGCTCTTAGTATTAATTATTTTCCTTTTTTAATTACTTGTGTCATTGTGAACTTGTATATGATAAACCTTTATATGCACTCAATGTGCACTAGTGCATCCAACTGAATTCGCTATAAGACATCTAAGAACAAAAAAACAAAAATTTTATCTGTGAGATCAGGATATCTATCACGAAACTTTTCTAGAGTGAAAGAAAAGTAATAAAAAAAACGACGCACGTAACAAATCAACATATCTAATTGTAAGTTTTTAATGTAGGATTCACACTGCGTCCGATATCCGACGTACAATATCCAATAAGAAAATATGATTTTTGGAGTCAATCAAAAATCAAATTTTCTTATTGATAAATAAGACGTCATACGTCATTTGGACGCAGTGTGAATCCTGCATAATATATTAATGTCTTTGGCATGTTAAATATTATGAAAGTTTTAAAAATGTTTAATATTTATATTATGTAGTACGATTTTGTTGTAAACCTTTCAGGACAGTAACAAGACTGTTTATCGCTTCAATTTTGTCTGTTGCAATCTTTTTTTTATCTTCCCAAATTTCTTTCTTTAATTGTAATGATTGTAATTTCTTTTCCTTGACAAGTCGTAACATTTCTTCTTGAAATTTGATTTTCTCTTTCTTTAATTTCCTTTTTTTTGTTGGTAAAATATTTTCTTTGATATCTGCAGTCTTTTCCTGATATATGCCAGCTGAGTCATCCTTTAAGGTAAGTATTTCCGGTTTGAAAGTTGAACCCAGGGATTCTTCCGGAGGATTTACACTCTTTTTTGCCGCAAAAACTTCATACATTTCATGGAAATACTTCCAAGTGATGGCACTTTCGCCTGTTCTTTTCAACTTACATTCCGATTATAAGTAACTTGGAGATTTTTCCACTTGTTGACCAGATCATTTTTTGTTATTTTGTAACCTTTTTCTTCAAAAACTTTAACAATTAAATTCCAATATGGTGTCTTTCGGCTATTTGGATTTTCAAACTTGTCATTCATACCAAGACGTTGTTCAAGTAAAAGCTGTATTTCTGCATCTGTCCAATTCTCTTTAGTGGCATCTGAAATTAAAACAAAAAAAATATTTTACTTATAAAACTCATAAATATAAAAAAATCATATAATGGTTACAGATTCAAGAAAATAATATTATAAAAATCATTAATTTATACAATTCTAGGAAAAGAAATTATATTAAGAAATACTTTACCAATTGATGTTCTAGTTTTATTACTAATATTATATTATATTTATATTTATATTATATTTTATTATATTTATATATCATATTTTATTACGTGAAAAGTGAAAAATTTCTGCCAATCACGCATTAATTTAAAAATAAAATCAATGTGTGATTGGAAAAAATTTTTCACTTTTCATGTTTTCATTTTAGAAAAAGTTACACAATCGATACCCTACATTAAATCTAAATATTTTTATTTTAGGGGGTGCTTTCCATTTAGCAACACAAGTCGACACAAACATCATTCTATCTTTGTTTTACATTCTATGAGAATAAAGATAAAATGATCTTTGTGTCGACTTGTGTTGCTAAATGGAAAGTACCCATGATTATTTTACATACCTTGTATTGACGGTTCTGACATGTGACGTGTGCACTTAACATTTTCAGACAGTGATGACGGTAGGATTGAAATGTTGCTAAATGTAGACTTCCCAGGTTTTTCCAAAATAACTGGGGACGAAGTAGCTTGATAGCTAGGAATGACTGTAACAGAATTGCATCTTTATACAAAGCACATTTTTTTTAAACAGATTACTTTAAATATTCTTGATAAAAGTGCATTTTTAGATTTATTTGATCGCAAATATAAATTAACAAACTTCATAGTCTTATTGTATATACCTTGTATTGCAGAACTTGTTGAAGGTTCTGACATGTGACGTGTGCACTTAACATTTTCAGACAGTGATGACGGTAGGATTGAAATGTTGCTAAATGTAGACTTCTCAGGTTTTTCCAAAATAACTGGGGACGAAGTAGCTTGATAGCTAGGAATGACTGTAACAGAATTGCATCTTTATACAAAGCACATTTTTTTGAAACAGATTACTTTAAATTTATATTCTTGATAAAAGTGCATTTTTAAGTTAATTGGATCGTAAATATAAATTAACAGACTTCATAATTTTATTGTATTACTTACCTTGCATTACTTTTAGTTTTGTAGGATCTATTTGGAGGAGTTGTTCTCCACCTTCTTTGTTCTGAACTTTTATAACATAACTCATATTCCAAGTTCAATTGGCTTAACAACGTATTCGTTTCCGGCGAGTTCGCCCTTCTGAGCAAAAACGCTCTGGACATGAATAGCGAGTTTTGCCAGGTGGTAATCGCCAAGAACGATGGCGTGTACCTGGACAACAAGCGGGTCAAATCGTCCTCGTTGCTGTTTCCCGTTGCGTCAAACACGTCCGAAGAGGACGTCCGCACCTTTTCTTTAATTTTGGAGGATACCGAGACACAGTTCTTAAATTGTTTCATCGATTCGGAAAGGAAGAGAAATGTATGCGTGATCACACACGACAAAAGGTTGTTCGCGTTAAGCGAGAACAATGTCGTGCAACTGATCTATACGTATTTGTTTACGCAGTAGTCCGCAGTACTGCGAGCAGAGCATCCTGAGCAGGACCTCCGAGATGGCTGCGCAGATAGGCAGCAGCTCTGCTTAAACGAACAACAAACTGCGCTGCAGTTAGTTGCGCAGGTGGAGTAAACGAACGACATCTGCGGCATTCTGCGGCAGTCACTGCATAAACGAATGCATCCGTAATCTTTACGGAAGGACAAAAAGTGTGGTTTTATAATCCTCGTCGGATTGTAGGAAGAGCACCGAAATTGCAGAGTCCATGGGAAGGTCCATGGGAAATATGTAGTTAAAAAATTAAATGATGTAGTATATTGTATTAGAAAATCTTTGCAAAATAAAAATAAAATTGTTCACATAGATCGTTTAGCTCTTTTCCAGGAGAGGAGATAGATGTTTTTGTCTTTGTGTAATATTGTTTCAACACTGACTATGAGCCAAAGCCCGTTAGTAAGAGATATGAAATAGTTTATAAGTTATCTACATAAGTTGTATTTCGTTTATCTGCCGTTGTGTTGTTCTCTGTTTCTTTCAGAAAGAGCAGTGTGCGATTTAGAAAAAAAATCTTTTACTGGATGAAGACTATCTCGCCCACGGTTTTTGATTCGTGGTTTTCCCGTAGGACGTAGGGTGTATAGATTTAACGTTGTAGAATGCCGGGTTAACGTGATCAAATGATTGTACGCGTTTTGAATCGGTTAACTTAGTTTATTCACTTTTTACAAGTTCGTCGCGTACTGAGACGTATGTTTCTCGGCGCTCGCTCTCTCGAGGACTGACTCGAGGGCTGCGCGAATTTCGGAGCTCGTGTAGGGCGGCAGCCGATCGGGGTCCTCGATTGGACCATCAAAAAATCAGGCGATGTACACACGCCAATTAGCGGCGAGTGTACACGTTGGTTTCACGTGTTTCCTTGGCGTAAACACTAAGGAATTTAACAAAAAAAAAATATTTGGTGCCTTGTGCACAGATACTTAATCCTAACGAAAAAAAATTTAGTTTCGTTAGGATAACGCACTGTCATCCGCGAGTTGGCTCTTACTGCCTGTCTTATATCTTAAAATTTATATTTATATTACAGAGCCTTGTTAAACTCTTAATTTATATACACGCTGGCTTAAAAACGCGTTTGTTTATCAACATTATTACATATAGCAGAGAAAAGTATAGAATCGAAAGGATCTGAATAGCTCAGTTGGAAGAGCAGTCGCCCGGCAAGCGAAAGGTCTCGGGTTCGATTCCCGATTCAGCGACTTTCGGATCTATATTTTTCTCTTGCATTTACTTATTTCCGTAGGGGGGTGAAAGGGTTATTGAAATTAAATCTCAAATATGAGATTATTTTATATTTTAAATCTTGGCCGTGACCAAGTAAAATATTTGGTGTCTTGTGCACAGATACTTAATCCTAACGAAAAAAAATTTAGTTTCGTTAGGATAACGCACTGTCATCCGCGAGTTGGCTCTTACTGCCTGTCTTATATCTTAAAATTTATATTTATATTACAGAGCCTTGTTAAACTCTTAATTTATATACACGCTGGCTTAAAAACGCGTTTGTTTATCAACATTATTACATATAGCAGAGAAAAGTATAGAATCGAAAGGATCTGAATAGCTCAGTTGGAAGAGCAGTCGCCCGGCAAGCGAAAGGTCTCAGGTTCGATTCCCGATTCAGCAACTTTCGGATCTATATTTTTCTCTTGCATTTACTTATTTCCGTAGGGGGGTGAAAGGGTTATTGAAATTAAATCTCAAATATGAGATTATTTCATATTTTAAATCTTGGCCGTGACCAAGTAAAATATTTGGTGCCTTGTGCACAGATACTTAATCCTAACGAAAAAAAAATTTAGTTTCGTTAGGATAATGCACTGTCATCCGCGAGTTGGCTCTTACTGCTTGTCTTATATCTTAAAAAAAAAAAAAAACATTCTAGAAAATTCGATCGTCCTCGAGGATTCGATCCGAAGAACGAATCTTCAACATAGGGCAAATGCCGAGACAGGGACTTGGGGAGTCCATGAGGGACGATGGGTCCACGGATTACCCCCCCCCCCTTGTCTGAAATTCTTCACGAGGTCACAGGAAAATCAGGACGTATCAAAAAAATATCGTAGGTCGATTGGGTTCAGATCAACGGATCGCCCGGTAACTTGAAGCAGCAGCCCGAGGTAGGGCAGGATGATTTGTTGGAGCTCTGGAGTCGACGGATAGCTGTCGGTCGATTAAGTCCAGTATGGCAGAGTCGCTCGGTAACCTGAGGCAGCAGTCCAGGGAGAGCAGGAAGGCTTGTCGGCACCCTGAAGTCGACGTGCACGGATGGACGATTGGATCCGGAGTGTCGGAATCTTGCGATCGACATCGAGGCACGAAGCTTTACGATAGCGAAGGATAGTTCTCTGTTTCTGATTGTCGGGACGACAATCTCGAAGAAGAATGGCAGTGTTACATCCCTGGATTTGCATCCTTTGTGCAACTTCACTTTACTATCATCCCCTGAACATCATCGCTAGGAGGGTTGTTTATAGACAACCGACGTTTGAATGTTTTTCGACGCCATTAGATAGATTTGGTCTAGCGGTCGCATCGTGCGGACGTTTTCCGAGACCGGAGCTTCTTTGCATTACGAATGCACTATTTGTTATATTTCATTGGTTTCGTGTATTGGGTCTTTATATTAAAGTTCATTTCCTTATTACGCAAGAGACTTTATTTCGCGCACGAGTGAGAGTGACTGTGTGTGAGTGACTGAGCGAGAGGCGTCCCGAGGACGCAACAGTATTAATCTTTGTCAACGTATATCTAGATCACTTGATAAGGACTCAAAGAAGGGTCAAAACGTTGTAATTGAATAAATAATATTTGCCAGTACGGTCGAGAAAAGAATTTTACCTTTTTTCAAAATGTACCGATTTAGAAAACATCATATTTATATTCTTTATATTGAGAGCCGATAAAAATATTTATTTCTGAGTTTATTCACGCCTTGGCCTAACCACGGCGTTATTTACTAACATCTACTAAAAAGGCAAATGAAAAATATAGATTCGAAAGGGTCTGAATAGCTTAGTGGTAAGAGCAGTCGCCCGGAAAGTGAAAGACGCGGGTTCGATTCCCGCTTCAGCGACTTTTCGGACCTATATTTTTTGCGCCTATTTCTCCATATGTAAGTTTCGAGATTAATTTATATATGGAACTTTGTAATCTCGTACCAAGAGATACAGTTCCGAATAATTAATTTTCGCAATTTTTCATGCTTTGGCTCTGTTGGCCGATTTAGAAAACATCATATTTATATTCTATATAATTTAAATGTTTATTAAATTTAATAATTATTTAAATTACATATTGATTAAAAAATAAATTAATTAGATAAATATAATAAATTAGTAAATAAAATCGGGAATGTCCCGATTCAGCCGACTTTCGGACCAATATTTTTCTCGCCTATTTCTTTACAGGGGATGTTAAGAGAAGGAACAGGGGGAATTTCTGAGATCCCAACCATAGGATTCAAATTCCTTTCCAAAAATGTTCTTTCCTTCATAATTATCGCAATAACATCGCGTTTGGCTCTATTGGTCGAGAGGAATCAAGTGGAGATTGTGGCTTTAAAAATTAAAAGAGCTGACTAAATAAGTATTCGCATTATTTAAACTTAGATCAAAAAGAACACATAAACACCATATTAAAAGAATATAAACAGATCTTTGTAAAAGACAAATTTGATGTTGAAAGAGTAAAAAACTATGAGGCATTCATTGATTTACAAGTAGACAAGTACTGTTATAAAAGACCATACAGATGTTCGATCTCAGATAAAATCGAAATAGAAAAACAAATCTCAGAACTATTAAAACATAATTTGATCGAGGAATCATATAGCCCTTTCGCAGCGCCAGTAACCTTAGCCTATAAAAGAGATGAAGGGAAAAGAAGTCGGTTATGCATAGATTTCAGAGAACTAAATAAAATAATAGTTCCTCAATCGCAGCCATTTCCTCTAATAGAAGACTTAATGATTGAAACCATAAACTGTAAATATTTTACGACGCTGGATGTGAACTCAGCTTTCTGGTCCATTCCATTAAGAGTTCGAGATAGACCCAAAACAGGATTTGTGACACAAGAGAGCCATTACCAGTGGACATGTCTGCCTTTCGGACTAAAAACATCTCCGGCAATTTTTCAACGGATTCTAAGGAACATCATAAAGAAATATGACTTATCAAGATTCGCTGTAAACTACATTGACGATATACTAATTTTTTCAAGAACATTCACTGAACATATAGAACACATAAGAAAATTATTGGACGCGATCCAAAAAGAAGGGCTCAGACTAAAAATTACAAAGTGTAGGTTTGCATCAAATTCGGTGAAATACTTAGAACATTTAATAAAAGATAATACAATCACACCGTTGAAAGATAACTTACGATCAATTAAGGATTTTCCAACTCCACAAAGCAGAAAACAAGTAAGACAATTTTTAGGTAAAATTAATTTCCACGGTAAATATATTCCAAACGCTACAATAACACTTGATCCTCTACACAATCTACTCCGGAAAAATACAACATTTTATTGGTCAGATGAATGCCAGAGCACATTTAAAAAAATTAAAGAGTATTTATGTTCAAAACCAGTACTTGCAATTTTCGACCCAAAATTACCGATCTCGATCTACACAGACGCCAGCATAAATGGTTTGGGAGCTGTCTTAAAACAA